CCGGAGCCCAGCAGGTGGAGGCTGCAGTGGCCGGGAATGGCCACTGCACTCCAGTCTGGGTGACAGAGTAAGACTCCAACTCAAAAAAAAATCAAAATGATAAATTAGAAATAGGGCAGCTCTCTACTTATTTTTTTACTTAGAACTGGCCTGACCTCCCGACCTCCCTTGGAACCCCTTCTATGTGCATGATTTGGGCTGTATAGCTTACATTTTGGGATTACTCACATTGAGGTATTTTCTCGAGATCCACAAGTAGGTCATCGAATTAAGATTATGTTAGAAGAGGCATACTTTCATTTCTCACCAAAGTCAGTCTGCAATTTTTTTTTTGAGTTGGAGTCACTCTCACTCCGTCGCCCAAACTGGAGTGCAGTGGCATGCTCACGGCCACCCCAGCGTCAACATGGGACAAAATTCAGGCAATACCATGAAATGTTTATAAACTGGCAATACAAAGTTTCAAAGAAAAGTGTTTCTAAGCCAGGTTCGGTGGCTCAGCCTGTAATCTTGCGCCTTTGGGAGGCTGAGGTGAGTGGATTGCCTGAGCCTGCAGGTTCCCGCCTGGGCAGCGAGACCTCATCTCTATAATAAATCAAAAAATCAGCCAGGCGTGGAAGCACATGCCTGTAATTCCGCTACTCGGAAGGTTGAGGCAGAAGGATCGTCAGAGCCCAGCAGGTCGAGGCTGCGGTGGCCGGGAGCGGCCACTGCTGAGACTCCAACTCAAAAAAAAAAAAAAAAATGTTTCTATTGCAAAGAAACCTTTTGACTTTTTCTCCCAGGCCACAGCCCGTTTTTCTCCCTTGTTTACCTGCTGGGTGCCACAACCTTGACAGAGTCCAGTGAGCATGGATGGCATCCGTTTGACTGCTGATGGCTTTCTGTAATACTGTGGGTATGCTTTGGCCATGCAGTTACTGATGTCCTTGGAGTCTGTGGCTGCCTGGATCTTCACTCTTTCGCATCCCTGAGATGAACAGTAACTGTGGCCATCCCTATGGCTTTTGGCTTTGAGATATAAAAATAGTAACCTGCACAAAACAGAAAACAATCCACTTAGTTAGACTTGCTCTCAAAAACTGACAAAATCTCTCAAATCAATACACGGTCAAAAGAGATATTCCTCCACTAAAGTAACTTTTCCTTAAAAGAAAAATAAATTACAAAATTAAGATAGAAAGGAAACAGAGTTGCCTTTCTATCTTCCTCGAGTCCTAAGTCAAATGAAATAAAATTTTAGAAAATATTTTGAAAAAAAAATTAAAAAAAAGAAACTATTTTGATAACCTGATTCAGTCACTCTGGAAGATAACAATGTTGATTTTGGTTTGAATTAGTTCAATAGATAACTTGGGAAGATGAAATTTGATTTGGCTCAAAAATTCCTTAGAAAACTTTATACAGGCTGGGTACGGTGGCTCACACTTATAATTCCAGCACTTTGGGAGGCCGAGGTGAGGGAACTGCTTGAGTCCAGGGGTTCAAGACCAGCTTGGACAACTTGGCAAGACCTCATCTCTACAATAAACCAAAAAATGAGCTGGTATGGTAGTGTGTGCCTGTGGTTCCAGTTACTTGGAAGGCTGAAGCGGAAGGATCACCTGAGCCCAGCAGGTTGAGCCTGCGGCGGCTGTGAGCCTGCCACTGCACTCCATCCGAGGCAATAGAGGAAGATTCTGACTCAAAATGACTCAAAAAAAAACAAAAGAAAAGAAAAGAAAACTGTATACTATACTTGAGTTTAAGATAGGGTAAAATACTTTGGTTTATTCTTTTTTGTTGTTGTTCATAAATCATTTTGGTTTAAGGCATAAGCTGCAATAATAAAAACAGCAACTCTGATTTGGCAAAGGCCACTTCATAGTCTCAAATCAATTCCTACGATGTTTACTAAGAGCAGATGGGGTCCTTACATTTATATTTGGGCAAACCAACCAAATGAATAGTCTTATTATTCTTATTCTGAATTATCACTCTACTGCCAAGATGAATGAAAAAGTCTAACTTCTAGGATGCAGTTCAATGTCTGTGAGCAAACCCAATGTGATCCTTCTAACCAAAGGGAGTCAAGATTCTAAAGGACTTGATCAAATGTGATTGATTACTGGAGATGAAGAATTCACATTTTATACAAAGTCAACAAATAATGCAAAGTTGTGATTATGAGGTAAAAATCAGCCACTGTCCCAACATTCAGTAATTTTAAGATAAATACAGAAAGAATGACAGGGACCTGGTTAGGCATAAGCTTTCCAATATAAGATTAAAATTATCAAAATGAATAGAACTAAAAAGAATTAGACCTTCAGAGTCTAAGGGAGGACTCTTGAAATACACTGATCAGAAAATATTTCCCATCTTTTCACACATTTAATCATTAATTTGTGGTCACAAGACTGTGCTTACAGACTCAGGCATTCTATTTATTTTTGTGGGAAGTCATTTGGGAATGTGGAAGTTCTATCAGCTACAGAATAAAAGTTTAGGTAGGTTGTTTAAATCTAATTAAAAACTGCAAATCAATGCCAGGCATAGTGACATCAGCTACTTGGGAGGCTGAGGTGAGCGGATCACTTGATCCCATGAGATCTGTTATCATGCCTGCGATGTCACAGTGAGACCTTGTCTCTTAAAAAAAAAAGGCCGGGTTGGGTGGCTCAGCCTATAAACCCAGCACTTTGGGAGGCCGAGGCGAGTAGATTGCCTGAGCCCACAGGTTTGAGACCCACCCAGGAAACTTGGTGAGACCTTGTCTCTACAATAAATCAAAAATTAGTTGGCTGTGGTAGCACATGCCTGTAGTTTCGGCTACTTGGAAAGCTGAGGCAGAAGGATCACTGGAGCCCAGCCGGTCAGTGGCCGGGAACGTGCTACTGCACTCCAGTCTGGGTGTTAAGTGAGACTCCAACTCAAAGAAAAAGAAAAAAGAAAAGAAAAGAAATAGAAAAATCAGAGAAAATTAAGATAAGAAAACTTGTTTTCTTAATAGAGATGAGGTCTCACCATGTTGCCCAGGCTGGTCTCAAACCCGCGGGCTCAGGCAATCCACTCACCTCAGCCTCCCAAAGTGCTGGGATTACAGGCTGAGCCACCGAGCCCGGCCAAGATAAGAAAACTTTTAACCAAATCACACTGACTGCTGGGAGTCTGGAGGAGATAAGTTGCATCTTATTCAAAGGCTAACCAGGCACTTCACGATTCAGCCCCAACTTCATTCTTCCCGTCAATCACCATCCTTCTCCCCACTCTGAACTTTTTGCCTTTGCCCAAACATGCCATGCCACATTCTAACATGCCCCCATGCATTTGTGCACATTCTCCCTTCTGCCCGGGACACACCACTCCTTTCTTTTTCCATCGTCTCCTAATTATTCTTCAAGAGTTTGCTCCAGGGTCACCCTCTCGGGATGTTACTGGCTACTCCAAGCTGAACTTCTAAGTCACCCCCAAAGGCACACTGAATATCCCATTATAGGACTTAGAGCATTTAAACCTTCTGATCTCTGATTACTTGCTTTACATGCCCACATCCCTCAATGGACTATGAATTTGCAGAAGAAATGCGTCTTTACACTGGAATCATTCCTGTGCCTAGACAATGGCATGTAGGGTAGGAATGTCAGCATGAGGAGAGAGACTGAAGGAACATGCTACTTGCTAGAAGAGTACAGGAGATGGTGCCTACCAGAGCCCACAGGCTGAGAGACTGTAACTGGATAAAAGCAGACAAAGCCAACAGGACCCCACGAGAACAGGATTAGAATTTAAAAGTGCAAAGATGCAGCCTAGAGAAAGTTGAAAGCAAATATGCCACGGTTATATACTGATTTTCTAAAACTCCAGGTCAACTTGAAGATAGCCCTAAGTCAGTAGGAAGAGAAAAATGAGCTTTCACTGAAATACAAACTATGTCACATGTAAATAATCATCTGAAGAGATGTTATGGAAAAAAATTATTTTAATTTTCATTTGGGCCTACCGGTTCTTCATTGACAAGGATAATCTCTCTCTAAATTGCCTTAATAGGTACACGGCAAACATGCTCACTCGATTCCCACTGCCAACTATAATTATGAGTCATTCTAGCTCCCCTCTAAACCTCTAATAGAGATTTGCAGAGAATTACCCACATCAGCTGCTTTCCTAAACAGCCGCTATGCTGAAGAACCAGCAATTTCACCATTAAAGGAAAATAGCAATAATTCTCATTCTCTGGATTCACTGAATTACCCTGTGCCGGAGTCAAAATAGAATTTCCTCTCGGACGGCTTCCTCTGCAGTTCGTCCAGTGAATGCACAGGCTCATATTCTTCCATTTTGGATAATGAGCCATTCTGCCGCTGCAAAAAGCCAAAGGTAACCTGAAAACTTGTGTCTGATGGATAGCAGAGGCCAACTCGAATCCAGTCATTCCTTTAAAGGAGAGACATAAAAACATTCATTCACATTTGAGCCACTATCTTTTGAGTATTATAGCATATGGAAATTTCAGCCCTAGTTTTCTCCTCTTCCTTTCTGCTATGTGCTGCTTCACTGACGATGGAAGTCTTGAACCCTGACATATGAATCATCCACCTTCATCTGTTACCTAAATTTCTCATATCAATATATTTATGACAGCAATATGACCCACAAAAAATTCTTGTCAACAGGATTTTGAAGAATGTGAATAGAAACTGGATAAAATACAGACACTCTAAACAGATAACAAGGTTAAGTGAGAAGGTTGGGTATGACTGTGCTAAGAGGAAAATACTAATAGCCTGAGAATAGAAGTGTACACTGATAAAACCACTTGAAAAAATTTTACACTTCATAAATATATGTTTAACTTTTTTTTTGAGTCGGAGTCTCACTCCATCACCCAGGCTGGAGGGTAGTGGCATGCTCATAGCCACCCCAGCATCAACCTGCTGGGCTCCAGCGATCCTTACACCTCAGCCTTTCAAGTAGTCAGAACTACAGGTGTACACTACCACACTCGGCTAATTTTTTATTTATTGTAGAGACAAGGTTTCGCCAAGTTGACCAGGCTGGTCTCAAACCTGCGGGCTCAGGCAATCCACTCACCCCAGCCTCCCAAAATGCTGGCATTACACGCTGACCCACCGAGTCCAGCCAATGTTTAACTTTTGTAATCAAATTAGTATAAATTCCTAGTGGTAAAATTGCTGGATACAAATGTATAAGCCTTTAAAGCTTTTGATGCATATTACTAAATCGCCATAGTATTTTTTCTCGATGTCCTTAAATATAAAAATAATCTTTTTTAAAAAACAACTAGATCAGCCTAGGCAACATAGCGAGACTTCACCTCTACAAAAGTTAAAAAAAAAAATTAATTGGGCGTGGTGACGCACACCTGTAGTCTCAGCTACTCGGAGGCTGAGGCGGATGGATCGCCTGAACCAAGAAGGTCGAGGCTGTAATGAACTATTATTGTGCCATTGCACTCCAGCCTGGGCAACAGAGTGAGACCCTAACTCCAAAACAAAAACAAAAAATGATTTAAAATATTTCTCTTTTTGTCTTTTTCCTTTTTTGTGACTTTTTTATTGTGGTAAAATATACATAGCATAAAATGTACCATTTTAATCATTTTTAGCTATATGGTTTAGTGGCATTTAATATATTCTCAAGGTTGTGCAACCATCATCACTATTCATTTCCAGAACTTTTTCATGATTCTGAAACATTTTTAAACAATATGCAACAATGCCTGAAAATTGTTCACACAGGTTCACCCTGTGTGTAATTCCACTAAAGAATAAGTAGAAATGTAGACAAGAGATATAAAAGATGTTCTGTTAAGAACTGTTTAAAAAAAAAAAAGAGCAGAGGGAGAGGATGGAAAAAAACAACCCAAAGGTTCACAAGAAAAGGAAGTAGTTTAAAAAAACTCTGGTATATCCAGAATATGGTCAATAAAACTAGAGGGAAGAGAAGGGAGAATACGATAAATGTTTACAACGACTTGCTTTAATTAGGAAGAGTATAGATTATTTCCATTTTATGTTTTTCTATATTTTCCTTATTTTGTTTAACGACTAAATACAGTTTTCTAACTTTTTAAGTGTTATTTTCAGCAGTGGCACTATGACAAAATCTATGACCTCCCTATAATTATATTAAATTTGGAAAAAAATTGTCCAGCTCTTCCTCTGCCCATCATATAATTTTTACAAACTGTTAGTTAATTTAAAAGTATGACTGAATTCCATGCCCATGTGACTTTTTGAAACTTTTAAGCTTTTTCATTTGAAAATGTTTTTACTAGGAAGGGCTCGGTGGCTCAGCCTGTAATCCCAGCATTTTGGGAGGCCGAGGCAAGTGGATTGCCTGAGCCTGCGGGTTCAAGACCTCCCCAGGCAGCTTGGCGAGATCTCATCTCTACAATAAAATAAAAACTAGCCAGGCGTGGTAGTGTACACCTGCAGTTCTGGCTACTTGAAAGGCTGAGGCAGAAGGATCGCTGGAGCCCAGAAAGTCGATGCTGAGGTGGCCGTGAGCATGCCACAGCACTCCAGCCTGGGTGGTGGAGTAAGACCCCAACTCAAAAAAAAAAAAAAAAAAAAAAGAAAATGTTTTTACTTTCTCAGTATTTGATGAGACACAGTACTTTACAGAACCCTGTATGTCATTTGATTGTCACATCTCACCTCAAATTCCTAATGCTGACCAACATAACTTTTGGAGTACTGATCAGTCTTTTGACATTTCTTTTCCATCCTCTCTGACAATCACTTGTTTCTTTCACTGACTTCTCTACAACTCATTGAAAATAATCCGATTGGGCTTTCAGAAATCTCACCCTGGACACAATGTAGACTCAGAACTGGAGGCAAGGAAACCGAGATGGAGGCTGCTGCAGGGATCCAGGCAAGACATGGTGATGGCCTGAACTCAACCATAAGCATTGGGGGTAGAAATAAGTGAGAGATATGAATGCCATTAAGGAGCTAGAACTAAGAGGGTTCATTACTAATACTAAGATGGGGAGATGAAAAGAAACGGAAAGTCAGGAATGAGTACTGGTCTTTTGGCTTGGTTGATCGTGTAGGTGGGGTATAATAACAGCAGCAAGAGTTAGAGAAAAACAGCTCTGGTGCAGCTCAAAGCATGTGCCAGAGGCCTAACTGGCTCAGAACAAAGGCATCTGCCATAATGCTCACTCATCTTTGTAAGTGACCTCCTTAGATCTGCATTCTCACATGTTCTGGTCCTTCTCTGTTCATTTCATTTGATTTTTGCTTGTTTCTGTCAGGGTCATGCTCTGTTGTCCAGGCTGGAGTGCAGCAGCACGATCATAACTCAGGCAAGCCAAAGCACCCGAGTTTTTAAATCTTTTTAGTGACAGGGTCTCATTATATTGCTCAGGTTGGTCTCAAACTCCTGGCCTCAAACGATCCTCCTCCCAACTTGGCCTCCGAAAATGCTAGGATTATGGGCATGAGTCACTGTACCCAGCCTCAACTGGATGTTTCAAGAGAGTTATGACGTCAGAGTTTTATGGCTAGTCAAGTGAATAAGCCATTTCAATTTTGCAGGTACATATCTAAGTATTTTCATGAAGTGCCATGGGCTAAGAATCACACAGATCTTTGCCTTTCAAAAATAGTCTCAGCCGGGCTCGGTGGCTCAGCCTGTAATCCCGCGCCTTTGGGAGGCTGAGGTGAATGGATTGCCTGAGCCCGCGGGTTTGAGACCCGCCTGGGCAGCGAGACCTCATCTCTACAATAAATCAAAAAATCAGCCGGGCGTGGTAGTGCATGCCTGTAATTCCAGCTACTCGGAAGGCTGAGGTGGAAGGATCGCCAGAGCCCAGCAAGTTGAGGCTGCGGTGGCCGTAAGCGGCCACTGCACTCCAGTCTGGGTGACAGAGTGAGACTCCAACACACACAAAAAAATAGTCTCATCCTTCCTTTCTAGTTTCACTTTCTGTCACTTCCCCTGATGCACCCTATGTCCCCATAACACTAAATCAATCATTCCCCAAGGTGACCAGGTCCTTTCCCAACTCTGTTTTTGCAACAAGACTGATCACTTCATCAGTATCACTCCTCACAGCAAGCTGGCCCAACTCCCTTAGGTAGAATTAGTTGCCCTATCCTTTGTCCACTAAAAAACAGCTTTGAGGCTGGGCACAGAAGCTCACATCTATAATCCCAGCACTTTGGGAGGCTGAGGCAAGAGAATTGCCTGAGCCCAGGAGTTTGGGAGCAACATGGCAAGCAAGACCTCATCTCGACAATAAATAAAAAAAAGTAGCTGGGCATGATGGTGTGTTCCTGTAGTCTCAGGTACCTGGGAGGCTAAGGCAGAAGGATCGCCTAAGCCCAGCAGGCTGAGGCTATGGTAGCCGTGATCATACCACTGCATTCTAGCCAGGAGTCAGAGTGAAACTCTCACTCAAAAAAAAATTTACAGGGGAGGGAGGGGCACACCTCATCAACAAGGGAAATGCATAATGAACATTTGTATACCTAACCCTGAATTGTGCCCCACATCCTTTAAAATAAAATAAATAAATAAATAAATTTTTTTGGGATTTGCAGCCTCACTCTTGTTGCCCAGGCTGGAGTGCAGTGGCACGCTCAGGCCACCGCAGCCTCCACCTGATGGACTTAGACGATCATTCCGCCTCAGTCTTCTAAGTAGCTGGAACTACAGACGCACACCACCACGTCTGACTAGTTTTTTTTGTGATTTATTGTAGAGACAAGGTCTCACCAAGTTGCCCGGTCTGGTCTCGAACCCATGGGCTCAGGCAATCCTCTCGCTTTGACCTCCCAAAGTGCTGGGATTACAGGCCAAGCCACCGTGCCTGGCCAATAAAAATAAAATTGGAAAAAGCTTTGGCTTATCTGTTGAGTTGAATGAAAAATGTTTACTTTTTAAAAATTTAATCTTTATATCATCTGACATACAATAAACACTTGAACAAATTAATGTAAAAATACAGCCTTGGCTGCAACGTGACACTATCAGGACAGACAGCTGAGAAATCAAGAGACAGAGTAATGCTTTCAGGCAGGGCTGGAAAAACCTGCTCTCATATCCCAACTCTTCTACCACTTTCTTCTGTCGAGTCTAAACTTGGCCTAAAAAATCTTTTAATTTTCCAGGCAACTGAGTGCTCAGTTGGACCACCCTATAAAACTAGTTTCCATCCCATCTATAGTGTATTAATTCAACCGACTCTATTAAAACCTATCATTGAATGGTTTTCTCTACACAATAACTTGATCATGGGGGGGGGATACTTTTGAAATGATTTGATAATCTCTTAATTTGATTCGTATAATCTCTTAATTCTATCAAAATATACAGCCTTTCCAAAAGAGTAGCAAAATACATGAGACTGGCATTCATTACTTGCTGCAGAGGAGAGAGAAGTTTTTTTTTCCTCCACTAAATCACAACTTGCTCAACGGTTTGAAATAGCAGTAACTGAAACATACTTGTTGAAGTTTACAAGATACAGAAAAGTAGTGCGCGGTGCTGGCCCATTCCAGTGGATGGTGTAGCCCTTCTCCAACATGATCACAGGCTGGTACTGTGGAAAGGCAGCCTTCTGGTTAATACCTCGGAGCACCATGGGGTGGGATGGATACTCATCTCGCGTGATGGTCATAGTAAGATTCTGAGTGCTCCAAGTCTGTATGTAGACCTTAAAAACACGATTAAGAATGAAAGTTTAAATAGCTAAACAGACATTTCTAGTACAAAGTCAAGTGTCTCTACTTTGAAAAGAGAGATTCTATGATCTGTGCCAGACTAAGTGAGCAGTGGCCAACTACATCTTAAGCCACACTTACAGTGCTGCCTGCTTAAACTAGAAATGGCAAAAACAGACCATGTGTTCTGTCAGCCAAGATCTTCATCATCACTTCCACCACGACGGGCCAGCTTATTCATCAGAATAGAAAACTTTTGTGGCTTATATAGCTTGTCAAAGAAATCTCTCAATCTGAAGAGCACACATACACAAAAAATTAGTAAATGAATGTGAAAACTGATATCCTTAGCCAGATCTAAGAGACTTGCTTCTAAACCAAGAGATGGAAAATTTATATATCTTAGAGTTTTGGCTTTCAATTTTCCATGACCTACATCAGCCTAAGAAGTCATTTTTCACCCATTCAAAATAAAGTTATAAAGTACTCTGCAACAACTGGAAAAATATATAAAACTAAGACAAATTTCAAAGTCTTGAATTTATTCCAGTAGCATCCGAACCACTTGCCATGCCAAAACAAAACCATCCCCAAATGCATCTTCTAAAAGACAAACCTCAAAAGAATTTCCTAAAACAAATCAGCATCTGTAAACAAATTCTCCTGAAGTACTAAAATGTCTGCAGAATATTGACATTTAATCCACAATACTTCTGTTTTTCTCTGTCATTTCTACAATCTATCCTTGTAGACTCCTCAATTTTATGTCCTTTGGGCGAGTAAGTCTTCTTAGTTCTCATTCATGTTTGTCTACTTCCATTTAATACTATCTTCTCTACTGCCATCACTTAAAGATTTAAAATAGCCAGGTGCAGTGGCTCCAGTCTGTAATCCCAACACTTCGGGAGGCAGAGGCGAGAGGAGTGCCTGAGTCCAGGGTTCGAGACTAGCCTGAGTAACTGGGCAAGGCCTCATCTCTACAATAAATCCAAAAATTAGCTGGGCCTGGTGGTGCCCACCTGTAGTTTCAGCTACTTGAAAGGCTGAAGTGGAAGGATTGCCTGAGCCCATCAGGTCAAAGCAGTGGTGGCTGTGAGGCTGGAGTCTCACTCCAGCCTGGGCGACAGTGAGACTCTGACTCAAAAAAAAATTTTTTTTTTTTAAATAAAGAGACAGGAAATATTTTTAAGACTACGAATTGGTTTCACTTAAATATATATGTAATATGTACTTTAGTATATAAAATACATATATATATACACTATTTAAATATATATTTATGTTAAACATACATATATGTGTGTGTGAGGATATATATACACCATATATCTATTCCCTGCCTTCTTTCTCAGGTTGATTTGAGGTGGTATATGTCGTCTAAACTCTCCCTATGTTACCATCTTTCTCCCTGAGTACCTTCAACCCGCAGGTCAGCAAAGTACAGACATTCCACTAAAAAATTATTTACAAATAGTTAAATAATGGTTTTTTAAATTTTGAGATCCTGTTATTCCCACTTTTTGCCACAACTGTCTACTACATTACTTCCAAGTAACAACAAACGGCTGCAGATCTGGGCTTCAGACCCAAATTCCAAATTCTCAGGAGGAAATTTCTGGCCTGTGCTCCTAATATTTCCAGAACCTCCTGGGAAGTGTTAGACAATTTATTTCTTTCTTCATCTATAAATAAAAATAGAATGACTACTCTGCTTTATAAGGTAAAAGGATCAGGTTTGTGGTCTCTTAGTCCCTCTCTCCTTTTTTTTTTTTTTTTTTTTTTGAGTTGGGGTATCACTCTGTCGCCCAGGCTGGAGTGTGGTGTTATGATCATGGCTCACCACAGCCTCAACCTCCTGGGCTCAGGAGATCTTTTCATCTCAGCTTCCCAAGTTGCTGGGACTGCAAGGACACACTACCATGGCTAATTTTTTTTTTTTTGTAGACACAAGGTCTTGTTATGTTGCCTAGGCTGGTCTTGAACAGCTAGGCTCAAGCAATCCTCCAGCCTCTACCTCCCAGTGCTGGGATTACAGGCATGATGAGACATCCCACCCAACTCTATTCTCAAATACATTAGAAATTCAAAGAGTTGAATAGTTTACTGAGTCAATGTTGGATAAATAAGAAATATATAACATTGATAGTAACAACTATAATTTTTAAAACTTAAGAGCTATCATAACCACATATTTTGTAGATTCATGTATAATAATTGTAAAAATATAAAGTATTCATTAGTAAGCATCTACCACTTTAAGAAAGACAGATGCACACATACACACATACAAATACACAGGGTTGACAAGAAATTTAACCTAAACTGTTATTACAAAGACTAAAAGCTTTTCTGGTTTTGCTTTTATTTTAATTCTAGAATTTTTATTATAGATTCTTGGATAAACAATTTTGAGGGAAGGCAATTCTGATAAAGAATATAATGAATGGAAAAAATAAATCACATATTAAACCACGTTCTTTTCTTCTTTATTATACTTAGTTAATGCTTCATCCCTTTCCCCTTGTCTCCCCAGGACTTAAGCAAGTAATGGTTTTTTTGTTATTGTTTTTTTTGCTTATGGGAAGGAGAAATCCCACAGTAACAGAGAAGCTAATATCAACGTCAAAATAAACCAGAAACTCTATTCAGTTTTTATCCCTCTTAAGCCCTTTGTTTTGTCTATAGACAAGAATCTAATTTTTTTATACTTTAAAATTTAAGAATAACATCCCTTAAAAGCCAAAATTCAAAATCAGAAGAACAATCAAGACTTCTGATCCAAGAAACTCCTACTACAGAGAGTTAAGGTGATAGAAACTACATAAAACTCAGGGGACTCAGAGAAGTGACAAGCAGGGAGCCCATGGACACATTTGACAGCTGAACTAAGCAGAGTTTGACAGCAGGGAAATAAATAGCACAGAACCAATCCCTCCCAGGTAGAACCCACATTACAAATAAAAGCATCTAGCAGCAGGTCAACAAGGTGAGCGTCTTTTCTGCCTTCAGGGTTATCAGAGCCCAATTCCATTTGAAAGATCCTCTGCTCTTTCTCTAATTCTCTCGATGTCCTGCTCATCCCTTTGTTTTATCTCCCCTGCCAGTCTATTATTCATTCCTACCCTTTAATTGTCTAAAACATAGGGGAAAAATTATGCTCCCTTCAAAATTCTGGGCAACTAGTACCTCCATTCAATCTCTCCCATGCAAATATCCCTATTGAAATCACCTTTGCAACTTACAGCTCCACTGCTCAAATAATACGAATTGCAGCAGGCACTGCACTACGAGTCAAGTCACATGCCAAATGCTTTACATATATTCATACACTCTGTCTTCACAACAGCCTCATATGAAAACAACTCCAATTATCCTTACTGTGTACAGGCACAGAGTAATTAACTTGCCCAACACATGTTTTAGGAAATAACAAAACCAGGACTCAAACCCAGGCAGTCTGGTTACAGAGTCCATGCTTTTCGCTATATTTACAACCTTGCAAACTAGTTCATCCTTTTTTTTTTCGAGTTGGAGTCTCACTCTGTCACCTAGGCTGGAGTGTAGTGGCACACTCACAGCCACCCCAGAGTTGACCTGCTGGGCTCCGGAGATTCTTTCGCCTTAGCGTCCAAGTAGCCAGAACTACAGGTGTGTACTACCATGCCCGGCTAATTTTTTATTATTGTAGAGACAAGGTCTTGCCAAGTTACCCAGGCTGGTCTCAAACCCACAGACTCAGGCAATCCACTCACCTCAGTCTCCCAAAGTGCTGGGAATACAGGCTGAGCCACCAAGCCCAGCCAGTTCATCCTCTTATACTGGGCATCAAGGTAATAAATACACATAATTTAATGTTTTCAAAGAGGTGTTTTAAAATCTATATCATCTCCTTCATATTTCCACAGACATTACACCATAATATAATTAGTAAAATTTCTTTGGATTCCTTCTTTGTCCACCCATTCCTAATACCTAGCTCTGTCACTGGAAACAGAGTTATTTTCCATGTGATCTACTGATATCCTGCCTCAAAAGTCGGATTTCCTAATTAAGTAGAGATTATGACCCCAAAGGCAAAGAATAAAATTCCATCTTAGGGGCACAGCTGTAGCATGGTAAGGCAACCTAAGAGTCAAGAAACATGAGTTCTTGTCTCAATTAAGTTCCAACCACAATTAACTGAGAGTAAATCATCTCACTTCTTTTGGGACTCACTTTTTAACTTAATAAATTCTTTTGGGGTGGGGAAGCTTTAAGTAAAATTCCATGATTCTCAATGAATTTTTTTTTCTTTTTTGAGTGAATATCATGCTTTGGAAAGCATTAATCACACTGAAAAGAGGAAGAGTACTTGTCACAGAAGCAGTGCTGTCAGCAGCTGGTATGGACTGGGCATCACATGCTTTCTAAGCCTACCTGGGCATAGGTCCCACTGCAGATCACTGCATTCCATTTAGTAACGTTTACACAGTTTGGATGACGGATCAGGTAGTTGTCCATTCTTCCCACATAAGCATCCTTGTAGCCTGTCACAGAACCATCAACATCGTGGAATATGGAGTTCTTATCACCATCCAGTTCACAATCTTCAAACCAGGGACCAGGTTTTCCAAAGAATACATTCAGAGAGACCTAATCACAGTAAAAAACAAGGACATCACAAAATGAAGGCTTCTGCCATCTTAGAATCCCCTGCAACAATCCGACTGCATGTCCATTATGGCTGCTTTAAGGTTAAGACAGTTCTGAGTTATACCTCATAGTTGTCAATTATGGCACATGGTCAACCAGAGTTTCCAGAGTTTTCTACTCAATTAATGACATACTTAGGAGAAAAGAAAATGTCAAAGTTTTAAGAAGCTCAACTATCAAATGTTAAACTTTATCTTTATTTTTATTCTTCTATTCCCTACCTTAAAAACTATTACTTGTTTCCAGACAAAACTAAACTGTGGTAATGAAGACCAGAAGAGTTGTGGGCAGGGGAACTATGCAATTATATACATTTGTTAAAAATTATAAACTGTACACATAAAGTCTGTGCATTTCCCTGTATGCAAATTATACGTCAATTAAATAAAAATCTATTATAAGACTATCTTCAAGCCGGGCTCGGTGGCTCAGCCTGTAATCCCGCGCCTTTGGGAGGCTGAGGTGAGTGGACCGCCTGAGCCCGCAGGTTCGAGACCCGCATGGGCAACTTGGCGAGACCTCATCTCTACAATAAATCAAAAAATTAGCCGGGCGTGGTAGCGCCCGGCTACTCAGAAGGCTGAGGTGGAAGGATTGCCGGAGCCCAGCAGGTCGAGGCTGTGGTGGCCGGGAGCGGCCACTGCACTCCAGTCTGGGCGACAGAGTGAGACTCCAACTCAAAAA